CATTCACCAGAACAATCTGATAGGATGGATATTTGAGAAAGAGGTTATTTATGATTTATTGATATATTATAAGTATAATATATTAATTGAGGAATCATATTATTTAATTAGTATTGATCAAGAATTAATTTAGTGATCAAAAAAGACTAACTAAATATACATGGGTTGATTGTGTAAATCAATGATACATATAGGTTGGGCTAATAATCCATGATTGATTAGTGATGGGCTAAGCTTATGTAAGGATCCATAAAGTCTTAGTCCATTACAAGCCTAAGTGTAAGAATTAGGGTTTACACATAACCCTTGGAATTCTACACTATATATATGTAACCCCTTGGCCTAAAATCGGATACACTAGTCTTCTTAGAGAAACTATAGCCAATTTTGAGTGCCTCCAAGCTTTCTCTCAAGTTCTCCAATTGTTGGTGGTGTTTTGTGAACCATTTAAGGCATCACACTTGAGGTGCTAAGTTCTTAAAGGCCAAATACAACAAGCTACAACAAGAGGTATTCTTCTAACTACTTTTTATGATTCATATATCAAATTTTGTATGCTAGTTACGCTTCATGCTTTGGAAAACAATATTGCATGTATAATTAGAGAAAACTTAGATCCAAAGCATTAGGGTTGTATGTGCACCATAAGGTTGTTATAGTGCTCAAAACCCATCAAAGTAGTCATTTGGAATCAGATCTGAGAAGTGGAATCAGTGGCTTAACTATTTAAGTCGTTAAAGTTGAGTTGGGCATCTATGGAGTACGCTAGTGTACCCATCTCATATGCAGCGCGTACTGCCAAGGGTGGCGTACATTGGGCGTAGATCGAGTATGCAGGGCGTAAGGCTGTTGACCGCCGTTGATTTTGTTGACTTTTGGGTTGGGCCATATTTTAGACTATTACGGTTTTTGGTATTATTGGGTCATTAGTCTTTTTTTTTTTACTTTGGGTCATTGTTAGACTTTGAGCCTTCTTGGATTGGGCCCATAGTGGGCTTTGGGCACCATTTAGGATTTCGGGCCATTGCAGGATTTTGGGTGTCTTTGGGCAGGGCCCGATTGTGGTTTATGGCCTGATTATTTAATAAGGATATTGCCTGATGTTATTTAGTGCCGAGGTTTCCCGGATCAGCAGTTCGAGCATTTATCTGCTTGTCTCAACAGTTCGAGGTGATTCTTCTCTCCGTGCTTGTGAGTCGAAGGCACCAATGCCGACTCATTAAATTATGTATGTTGGATGCTAGCTGTCTTTGTGACTCTTGCATGTTTGTATGAGCCTGTGTGGTAGAATAGTTGTATCTGTGATGACCAGATGGGTCTAGCTGTTATTATTTTGTTATTTTGCTTATATGGGTCTGAGACTGTTGATAGTCTCCAGGGTTACTGATAACCCACTGGGCGTGCTGTTAGCCCACTAGGACTGTTGATACTCCCTAGGGTTGCTGATAACCCATAGTTGTTTATTTGTGTTGTGATGTGTGTGGTATTTTGGGGAACTCACTAAGCTTTGTACTTACGATTTGTGATTTACATGTTGTAGGTTTTTCTTATATTCACAAAGGGGCACGACTCGATTGCATCGCATCAATGGGGGACTTGTGTACATGATAACTTTTAATGATACTCTGATAAATGTTTTAAGATTTGTGGCTGTGATTTGACAAAACACTTATAGTTTTAATTGAAAATTTGGGGTTGAAATTTGGGACGTTACAGTTGCCTTCTTCCTTGGCGAAGTGATTTATGAATCTATGATTTTCTTTAGTTGTTAATCTTGCTATAGGACTTGGCTTCGCGTCCATACATGTTGCTTTAGGTTCCATGGACGAAGGAGAAGATTCAGTGTCGATGATGTTACCATCGTTTTTGGGCACTGAATCTTCTCCTCCGTCCATGGTGAAGCCATTGAATGATTTTTATGAGACATATCAATTAGACCCGTTCTGATATCATAAAGAATTTGATATGATAAAAGTTCTGATTCCAATAACTCAAGAGTTTAAATCCAGAAAATAAACTAAAAAAAAACAATAGATGAATTAAGAAACTTAAACTTGATTGATAAGTAAACTTGAAGGATAAGAATAAGTAAGACTTGGTCCATAAGAAACCTATTGATCTTTAAAAATTAATGAATTTAAACAACTTGTGGATATCAAATGCCTAATTACAACACCAAATAGTAATTTGGTGTTGTTGCTACATCAACAAGAATTACAACATCACCAAATAGTAATTTGGGCAACTCGAAGACTCAAAATTACGTTTACATAATAATATTCTTAGATAGATTAAGTAACCTCGAACTTCCTTGAAAACGTACTTACTTACAAGTTTTCAACAAGAAATTTGTATTTTTGCCCAACTCCAGCATAAGCAGCAACGATTTTGTATTTTTGTTCATTTATTCCTGATTTCCTAGCCTCCAGTCCTGCCTCTCCTTCTAGTGTCGCATTTAACTACTCCCACACAATTAACAAAGTTATTTGGACGATTAATTGGGCTTTTAGTTTTTTGGAGTTTAAACATTGGGCTAAAGGGTAGCACACCATGTTATCTAGTTATCTAGGAGTATTAACCTAAAGTAAACTATAAAAGTTTTATAATTGCTACATCAACCTGAATTTTTTTAGAGGTAACCCTTGCCTACCACACTATTTTATCAATTACTTGTACTGTAAAATTAGGTCGTACTAAAGTATATTTATTGAAAATCTGTTAAATTTATATCGTTGTTATTTCTATTTACTTGTTTCACAACATAAAAATTACTTAAATAAATATTAATGAGATACATATTAGATATTACAAATATATATTTATATAATACAAACAAAATGTCCTATAAAATATCCAAATCAATATTAATAAGATATTAATAAATCAAAAAATTGATTTATTTTTATGTGGGTAGTTGATACCGACACCTTCACATCTTTGGTTTACAAGTATCACGTCTTCTAAATGTATCGTTCTTTTTCGTTTTTTTAAACTTCAATACTAATTTAATACATGTTCAAATACAAAAATGAATGTGCATGTCGTTAGTTTTATATTTCAACATATACTCATTGAAGGTCAAACAAAATGTTGTTTCTCGAAATATATGTCATCTTTATTAGCATTATGGTTGTTATCTAATGGAAGGTTGAAATAGTTCCGTAGCATAACATTGAAGACTTCATTTTTTTTTTTCGAAAACAGCCAAACATAATAAAAAATTAGCAAAGAGTTAGAAAATTACAAAAAGTTTAAAGGATTAGTTAACCAACTAATACAAGATAAATAACATTTAGAGACTCCTATTAGAAAACCATAAAAAATAAAGATCTTTAATGGAGTCAACAATATCATTTTTCCGCATCTTTCCCGCTTGAAACACCATATTATTCATGTATTTTCAAATGTACCAAATAGTTGTATATAAAATCGCATCTACAACATCTTTCTTTTATAAATTGATAGGAAGGTTATCCATTATGGACCTTAGAATAGATTCAAACTACAATCGATCCAATTCCAACCAATGAAATATTTCATTTCAATTTCTAGCTGTCACTTCACACTTAACAAAAAGATGCTCAAGTTGCTCAACATGTAAATCATAAATCAGACATAATATCGAAGGTACATCAATTCCTTTATTCGCCAAATCGATAATTTTTTTAATTACAAGAATTGCTAAGAAAATATTTGATGTATGACATATATATGTCGAATATTATCCAATATCACTTTTAGAAACAATATATATATATATATATATAATATATATATATATATATATATATATATATATATATATATATATATATATAGAGAGAGAGAGAGAGAGAGAGAGAGAGAGAAAGAGAGAGAGAGATAGAGAGAGAGAGAGAGAGAGAGAGAGAGAAAGAGAGAGAGATAGAGAGAGAGAGGTAGGTTCAAATGTTTCCCACATTTATTGTGTGTTAGAATGCACCGATAAAAATTTAGTATTATATATATGTATATTAAATGGTATCCATAATTATAATTCATTTTTATGGAAACTAATTAAATTCTTCATTAATGTCAACAATAATATTCTTTCAGAATTAATTCATATCTAGAAGAATGAGAGTGTATTCTAGTAGAATACACTATCGTTCTTCATATTCCATGCAACTTTATTGTATTTTAATTGAGTGAGTCCTAAAACAAAATACGAACTCATATATAAAAACCTAGATGTGAATTTATTCTGAAATAATGTTATACCTGACATTAATGACAGATTTAATTAGTTTCCATAAAAAGAGAATTATAATTATGGATATCATTTAATATACATATAATTATGTAAATCAATTAATATCTATATTTATTTAATTTACTAAATTTCTATTGGTGCATTCTAACACACAATAAATATAAGAAACAAAATAACCTAGTCTATATATATATATATATATATATATATATATATATATATGGTTATTTGGAAAACAAAAAAACCCTAAAAATCATAAAAATGCATAAAAAAAATACTTAGAGATCACAAAACTTGTTTTTGAATTTTTTTTAAAAAAATCGCAGCTTTCTATACAAATTCGCTGAAAAAAAATTTGAAATTTTTTTTTTATAAAAAAAATGATTTTTTATTTCATTCATGTTGTTTATTTGTAAGCTTCACAGTAGGTACTCCCCCAAAATTACTATTTTTAAAAAATCATATTAAACTTCCTTTGATTCAGAAATCTTGAAGTTGATTTTTTATTTTTAGGAAAATTAGGTGAAGTAGAGATGGAGGTATCAGAGGCGTTCTGGTGGCAACATCGACTTGGTCAACTTGGCGGTGATTGATTCATATCAGAAATTAAGGAGGTATAATTCAACCTTGAATCCTAAAATTCCCAAATATCTCGGCCCTAAAAAATTACAGATGGGTTTAATTGAGTTTGTGATTCAAGGTTATATATGGGTTCTGTTTTGCTTTGGGATTGGTTTGGGGTTTTTAATCCATTTTGGTTTGAAGGCTCATGTATGTGTTTGGATTTGGAAAAGAGGTATCGACTGAAAAAATGGGGGACAAGGACATCATTCATGGTGATTTAAGGGGAGAAGGGTATCGGTTGGAAAAAAAAACAAACCCTAAACTAACATGCGATTTAGGTAAATTTTTTTAAAAAAATTCATTACTTTTTCCCCTTACTGGTGCTTCTTTTTTGTTCTTACTTGTGATTTTGCATGTTTTTATTTTTATTTTTTTTTTTATTTTCAGAGGCTCCAATATCTGCAATCTCACCTTATCTGCCCAATCTAGGTAAGATCTCTGATTTGACAACAACTTCGATTTCAATTATTTGGAAGTTATTCATTTTTCATATTTTGCATCTGATTCATTTTGGCTTGTGAATCTGGACTTTTCCACTTCCCCTTACTTCTAAGGCTGAACATGTGACCCTTGACCAAAATATTTAGGTTGCTAATGAGTTTATTGAGCTCTAACAAAGCTACATTTAACTGTTCATTTAGCTGTCTACAAATCTTTCACCCTTGAGTTGTTTATAGTTAGTTTCTCAATAGGATCTTTCTCTCCATCCACATCTGTATCTGAAAGCATTTGTTTACAAGCTAAAATAATGTAAGTTCTATAATTTTGTAAATTTTGGTTTAAACGTGATGCAAGAATGTACTTATGGTAAAGTATGTTGCTATTATCTAAGTAGTCAATTTTGGTTTCATCTTATTGTACAATTGGTTATGGCTAAAAACATGGAAGAAAGTGTAATTTAGAAAAATTAGAATACTGTTATTGTTCCAGTTAATGTGAAGGGTGGTGCCAACAAGGTGTTGATGTACTCCATCCGTTGATGTCCCTTTATTTGTTGTAAGGGTAAATGAGTCCAAATACAATCCTAAGTTATATTATATCCAATGCAACTGCAACTGTACACGCAACCACACCATAAGTCTTGACATTTAAACCCTTATATTATAGTCTATACGTTTTCTTTTATGTGGATTATTTATCCAGCTACACAAAAAATGGTAGTAGACATTACCTGATTCTTAAATTTGGTTATTTAGACAGACAATAAAAATATCATTTTGGGGAAAACGGAAAACACAAAAGCATAGCGGCAAAAAAATGGAATCTCTTTTATATAGATTATTTTAGCTATATCAAAATTCCTTATGCCTCGGTCACTCTTATTTTCTATATATGAAAAAGATTATGAGTTTTGTATTCAATATATGAAAATGATTGTAACTGTTGTCTCCAGTTTATAAAAAAGACTAGGTGAATGTACTATTATTTTCAAAATATGAAAAATTTCCTTTTAGGTAATGTTTTATTTTATTTCCTAGCAATTTGTTCTGTTTCAATGGAAGGTAAAGTATTTTTGGATTCTATTGATTGTGTTATTCATCACATATTATCTTTTAATACTATGTTTTTACTATAAATAGAGATATTTGATATCTGTTGAATGCTAGAAGTGAAAACATTAAATTAGTGTCTAAATGATTTAAGTAGTGGCTATTATCAAGTGAAGCATGATTTCTGCATACTTTACAGTTGTGTGTTACAATGTGTATTGTCCAGAAAGACCAGTTGCAACGTGTACTGCCACAAACATTTCCAACCTCATATGAGTTGCCGAATATACCAAGAAATGACGGGGGTTTGAAGGAAATCTCACTTTAAAACCAAATAATAAATAAATTGAATATCCTTTGTTTCTATATAATTTGTTGTTATTAATATCATAAATTTTATTTTCAAACATATGAATTTACTATATCTTCAATTCAAAATTTCATTATCATTTAGGAGAAACTTCTATAAATTAATACCATCATTTCTTATGTCATAACTACTAAATATCTAATGAACCACCAAGATAATATACGTTATTTGAATTTATTAAACTCATTTACAAACTTTTTTCAATTCTTAAAATAAACAAAGCTTTAATATACTTTACTTTTTAATAACAAATTTTCATAAAAAGTGTACTCCAAACATCAAAAACTTACCAAAATAATATACATTTAAATGGGCAGTTTTAAAATAATATTTTAAAAGATAAGGGTTAAGTATTATAATATTAAACAATTATTTTTAGCGATTTTAACCGATAATCGAATTGGTTACAAACTATAATTAAATGACATGTTGAACTATCAAAGTATAATATATTTGTAAAAGGGCAGTCATTTAAAACTAACGAAGGTAACAAAATTTCCATTTATTGTATAGGCATATAGTTCTTATATGTTATATTACATTTGTTTGTCCTAGCTCTTTTGTCAAAGACCTTTAATCATTGTGGTAATGCACTTTCTGATATGAAAGTACGATGTTATTATGTGTTACATATTGTTACTATTAATAAACAATGAAAATATGATGCTAAAAATAATAATATAGATGTCCCCATATTCGTCACCACCCTCCCAAAGGGATCATTTAACTGGTCGTGTGTATTCCCAGGTGGATAAGTCCGGATAAAGGACTAAGGTTTTACTTCCAAGTCATCAGTGATGACTCATGAGGTAAAATGTTTATTAAACAAATCTTAACCTTAAGTTGTAAATCAAAACTATTAATCGCAAACCATAAGGGCCGGAACTTTTGCACACTACAATTTTTTTTTTTACTTTTTATTGCGAGAATTGCAACTATTCGTTGCCACAAAATTGACCGATAACAATATGTATCTGCATTGTGTTCCTTAAAATACATGTTTCAGAATAAAACTTATTGCCGAAATAAACTATTCGTCACCGCCGCTTTGCGCGGATAGACTCCTAGTATATATATATATATATATATATATATATATATATATATATATATATATATATATATATATATATATGGAAAAGTTCAATAGAGAACCATAATTATTGGTTTTTCAAGGAACCAAATTTTTTTTTCAATTTCTAGAGCTTATTTTTTATCGAAAAAAAATCTAAAAATATCTAAATTCATATATTAACATTGTGAATGTGAAAAATATTTTTCGGATTCACCGTGTGAATCCGGATTCACATTGTGAATTTTCAAAGATTCACATTGTGAATTTGATGTAAAAAAAAAAAAAATTCAAATTTGATATCATTGGAAAAGGATAAAAAGTTATGAATTGTAGGGTCGCTATAAATAAATACACATGTATAAACAAAGTATTATGGATACGTGTTAATTATTACTCGTATATAGTAGTATAGTACCATAGATCGTGATCTTTGTACGATTGAAAGCGTCATTATAAAAGGTGCTTAGAAATCAAAGGAGAATATTTCCATTTTAGGAAAACAAAAACGTTTCTCGATTAGCATTCAAAATATTTCTCGGTCCCAAAAGCACCACTAAGGGTTTTATTATTAGATATCACTTGGAACAATTTGCTTTAAATTTTTGGTTTCTGCCTAGTTTAGTAGTTTTAAGGATTTTGAGGTTTTCAACAAGATATATCGTACTATTTTATATATTATCAAAATAAATGCTTCTTCCACTAACCAAGCTGATAATTATTTGAAATGAAAAATGTTTGTTGAAATGGTGTCAACATGTTGCATTATTATAGGTAGGCTTAATAGTTGAGTAGAGCAAGGAGTGTTCTTATATATGGTGGTGGTTTACATGGAAATATACGAAAAGAAAAAGCTTTTGGTAAAGGTCAAAAACAAAGGAAAGAAGAAGCATATGCATAATTCTTATTAATTAGATGAAAAACGAAACGGGTGTTATGATAAATGACTTTGTTTACTAATAATAACTTGGATGTTTCCTGTTAAATTGTGCATCATAAATCATCATGCATATATATGTTGATAGTGTGAACTAATGAAAAAAAATATATTGCTTGTGCTTCATTATTATAAGAGTTGAATTACAAGGACGGAAGGGAAAAGACAACTATAAATAAGAAAAACTATCTAAGGCAAACCTATCCGGCTAAAAAACGGGCCCAAAACAAAAGACACCCAATAACGATTTATTAGGCTAATATTTTCCTTCAAACTTATGGTGCAACAACAATAATCATTGAGAGTTAGTTAGACAAAAATAAAAACGAACAGTAGATAGAGCCTTCATAAACATATCAACAATCTGCAAAGCAGGGGCGGCCTTACATAGAATGAAACTAAGCCCTTGCTTAGGGCCCCCAAATCTAAGGGCCCCACATAACCTAAATTTCAATTAGGGGATTGTCGATTTGGATTCTTCATTTGTGCACATCAATAGAATCGCATAAACCATTATCGGCAAAAGCCATTCTCTGTCCTCTGATTTCATTCTTCATTCTCCTTAAACCACAAAAACCATTACCAGTTTGATAGTTTGATTCTCTGATTCTCAATTCTTATTCTTCCTGACTCTGATCGATTCTTGATTGTTCAAAAATCAAAAAAAGAGGTTAGTTCCATTGTTGATTCTTCTTTCTGAAAGGCTATCAAGTGTCAATAACGCAACTGATTTGGTGATTCTTGAATCATGAAAGGCTGAATTCTGAAAATGTATGTTATTCTTCGGTTCTTCCTCTGATTCTCTATTTCTCCATAACTGATAATTGTCCATTTTTGATTATCTATGATTGTGAATTTGTGTCTTGTGATAATATGATAATCTATGATAAATTTAGTTATTTTGATGAAGTTAAATCTGTTTTGATATAAAAGAACTCGATAATTAAAAACTCTTAATTTCTACCGTTCCATTGTCACTATTTCTCAAAATATGCTTGTCTTTTTGTAAAGTATAGTGTCTTTAATGTACTTTGGTATGAATGATGGTTAAATTCCAATATAAAACCAAATACTAACCTTGGGAAACCGGGACTTTATCCTTCATGGAATTGCATAGTGTTGGAAACAACATGACCACAGTAACAAAAAGTAAACAAGCTTATGACATTTGGCAACCCACTCCAATTCCAGAGTTCCCCTCTCTCATGGAATATAATTTCATCAAAAGCACCAGCCCAAAATACAGCCAACACCAGAATCATTGATGCAATTACCCCACCAGCAGAAACATATGCCAACACCCCCAAATTTCTTAACCAGGTTGTAGGCAATACCACAAGAGCAGTCACCAAAACAAACCCTTGTTTCCCTCCACTTTTCATTCCAAAAATATCAAAACTTTCCTTTGGAAATGTGTAAATTGTCACTTTCCATAATTAAAAATTTGACTGCCACCAAAAAAGCTCGAGGTGCATGAAGGTTGAAATAATCGCCCTCCCTTTTTTCCCAGATGCCACTTGGCCTATGTCATGGTATGTTTTGATGATGAAGGGATCTGAATCCATACATACGGGATAAAAAGTATCCCGACACCTCTATAACGAACAAGATGATGTTTGTTAACTGAGAAATATGAGATCATGCATAAAGTATATATACAACTTTTGTGGGTATTTACTAGATAAAGTATTAACACCATTGAAGCAGGTCCTTAAGAAGGTGGTGCCTTTGGTTGGTGATGATTCATGTGAATGTAAATGCTGGTTTTGGCTCTTCACAATCTCCACATGGTTGGTGTCCATTTTTTCTTTGTTTTGGGACCAAAAAGTATCTAAAAAGGATAGAAAAGTTAACTTTATGTCTTACATATATTCACAAAAAACATATACATAATAAAAAAAAATTCTAACTCCGCCATTTATAAACTTTTTAGTTTATTATTGTCGGTCTCAAGCCTGGATAAAAGAGCAAGGCTTATAATATTAAGTATAGTAAATACTAAAGGGCCCCAAATTTTTGGTCCGCTTAGAGCCACCATGTAACGCCTGATGGTTCTAAGGTATCATTTATTCAATTATTTATTTATTTAATTATGTAAGTTGTGTTGGGCTTAGTGAGATTGGGCCTTTATGAGTGGGGTTGGTCGAGGTCGTACGATGTGCGTAAGCCTGGTGTACGCAGGGCGTAAATGGAACAAAAAGGATCGCCGAGGCATGCATGTACACGCAACGTACGTGCTCATACCCAAAACCCTAATTTTTAGGGTGCAAGCCCTATATAATGTCATTAAGTCCCAAGTGTTACCCTCCCTATCAGCCTCTTCTGTCCAGAAACCCTAAAATCGAGTCTTATCTTCCATTGTTGAGTGTGTGAGCTTTTGGAGAGCTTTTGATGTTCATTTTTGTGCATCTTGAAGGAGTTGAAGAAGCTAGAAGTTGCTTATCCTGAAGAGGAGGTCTTGGATCCAGAACCACCACCTTATTTGCCAAGCTTTTGAGGTATCAAGTTATCATCTTGCTTGCTAGATGCTTAGATCTCTTTTTGGGTTAGATTGTTATGTTTTTAGCCTTGGTTTGGATGGATGTTGGGATTAGGACGTCCCAAAGGATTATTCTTTCAGATCTAAGGTCTTCATGGGCTCCTTTGTCATAAAGGTGCCAACTTTATGGAGTTAGGGTCCTCATGCATTCATTAAGTCCTTCCTTAAGTCCTTTTTGAGCTTTAGAGCTTCTTATGGTCATGCATGGACGTAAAGTTAGCAACTTTACGTGATATTCCAGCTTAAGGAGGTTATATCTGCACTTTGGGGTGAAGTCTTAACGAGTTAAGTGCTTAAAGTAGAAGGTGGTTGATCTGGTTGAGTACGTTGGGCGTACAACCCTGTACGCGCAACGTACAAGCCCTCAAGCCAGTACGCTTAGCGTACCAGTTGAGTACACCCATCGTACTCAGTCTGATGGCAATTCAATGTTGGACTTCCGGTTTGCGCCTCAGTTT